TATTTACATAGTCTGTCAAAAAATACGCGGACTGTTTGAATTGCGCGCCTCCAGTTGGTTCCAGGGCAATCCGCTCAGATCTGCAGATTACGAGCCATTTTCCGATTGTTGATATCTTCATCTGTTCGTTAGCTACGTGGCTTTTAGTGAAGTGCGATTTTCTCGTTTGGCGGATATCAAAATGAAACGAAGAAGCAACGACTTGCTGTGATATTTTGTGTTAGGAATTTTCCTTGTTACGGAAATATGCGACAGAAACTTATCTATGTTTAAAACAGCTTATGAAGACGTTGCGATGAAACGTACGGCATGTTTCAGGTGGCATGACCTTTTTACAGATGGTCGACAGTCCATTAAAGTTGATGAGCGTTCTGGTCGTCCTTCCACGTCAACTGACGACCCACACGTCGGCAAAATCAATACCCTGGTGCGGGAAAATCGACATCCGACTGTCAAGGAGCTTGCTGAAGAATGTGGGATACGAGATGGATATTGTCACGAGGTTTTGACTCAGAAAAAGAAAATGCACCGCTTTTCTGCAACATTTCTGCCACACCTGATGACGAAGGAACGGAAAGTCCATCGTGTCCAGCCCTGTGAGGAACTACTTGATCGTTCAGAAGAAGATAAACTACTTAGTTTCAAAGATCTTAACTGGTGATGAATCATGGGTTATGGTTATTACATTGACACATTGGTCCAATCGTCCCAGTCGACAGGCGAAACGTCCCCCGCACCCCTAAAAGCTTGCCAAGTTCGGTCCAAGGTGATGCTGACAGTTTTTTATGCTAAAGGTGTTGTTCACCCGGAAGGCTCCACGGAGCGCCTGAGGGACGCCATCCGTCGGAGAAGGCCAGAAATCCTGGGGATTGGCGAACTCGTTAGGTTTTGGACAAATACACGATCACTATTCTTCTCCACCCTCCCTACTCACCTGACCTTACTCCTAGTGACTTTTTCTTATTCCTCAAGCTCAAAAGATCCTTGAAAGGAAGATTTGAGAGGATTTCCGAGATTATGGCAAATGTGACGAAGGTGCTGAGGGACATTAAAAAAGAAGCGTACTAGGACTGCTTCAACAAGTGGAAACACTGTTGGGATAAGTGTGTGCGTTGCGGAGCAGTGTACTTTGAAGGGGATTCAGACATATAACTTGAGAGTAAAGTACTTTTTGTTTTATGACGACAGTCCGCGTATTTTGTGAACAACAGCTCTCGTACATATATCGTCTCGACTTCTCTGGGATTAAATTCTGAAATTGTCTCTTGATCTCTATCTTATTTCTACCATCTCGACGTAGTCTCTTGCTTTTTTTATTAGACTCCTAAGGTATACGGAGTTCCAAATATCTAATTATTTTATTTCGCGAGACAAAAAATTGGGAGCTCGCGTAAGGAATCTTTGGGGGACTCCGGTTAGGCACTAGCGTGTATGTAATCCAAATGCTAATAACATCTTAACAAGGTCAGTAAAATAAATTACAGCACTCTTCATTACTAGCTTGTAACGTCCTTTTCAAAATAATGTAATTGTTAGAAAACTTAGCGATGAAGTAGCGAAATCAGGCAACTGAGAAAAAGCACTTGAAATAACTTTGGAAACAACTGTTCGGAAACAAGTAAAGATAAAAACACTACCACTTGACTGGTCTGTAGTTTTGCAAAGAACAACTATTTTAGTACATTTCTAACAGGTAACAACATTCTACAGAATCAATGGGCTCTATTTTTTTAAAGTATTCCGTCTAGACGCAACGCGTCTCCTAGCTCATAGAAGCATTGAGCGCACTATGGAGTAATCCTCCGTTAACATTTACAGTTGGAGTAATCCTCCATTACAATCGCCCTACAGGGACCGCTGAGTAGTCGTAGTCAAGTCAGTTGCAGTCAAGTCACGGAATAGGATTAGAACACTTTCCTCTATTATTAGGAGGTAGTTTAGACATGCTCAGTTAAAATATTAAAAAGAGTAGTTGTAATTAGTTAGTTAAAATAGTAATCTTATTTAAAATAGTAATTCGGTTTTGCCCTGTTACTTAGCTAAAAGATTTTTCCTTAGACACAATAGTTAGTTTATCGACGAATTCTATTGTTTTATTTCGTCCAGACGCTTGTGCTCAATTATACTGGTAAGTATTCTGGTACACTGCACCGAATCATTAAACAGGAAAATCTAGTTTGTTCGTTTATAAACTAATGAACATGAAAGTGAGAGAATTGATTGTGTTGTGGAGCAAATAACGACTGCTCTGTATCGAATGGGAGAGTGACCAAGTTCTGTTGTTGTGAATGACCTCATTATGGAAATGTACTCACCTTTGTCTTGTGCAGTCATTAAACTAGATGAAAGCGTTTGCCGTAATTTACTCAGAGCTGTTCCAGATTCGGCAGACTCGGCACCAACTGCAGTCTCGTTTGTGGTCACCATCTGCAACGAAGCAGTTCAATACATTTATTAGTTTCCCCGTACACGCTTATGCGTTTAAGCAAGATTATGAGGTAATGAATAAATGATGACTATAAATGTATCATGAATAAATCAAAGCAAGTGTAATATAACAATTCTAACGAAGAGAGTAGTGATGAATGAGGAGCATGAACGTGGTAAGAACTGTTGCGAACCAGTATTGCCCAAAAATTTACAAGTAATTATTAATTTGTTCACATCTCTGCACCTACGAGTCAAATACATCAAATTAAGCGAACCTTCATTCAGTCGGTTATCCACATTTTCCAAAGATCTATTCTCACATTACTAAGATGACACAATATTGAGAGAAAACTATTTCTAAGTATTTAAATGAGCAATTTATTTATTTAATTATTCATTTATACACCATGCAGGAAAACACTTGTTCACGAAGGCATGATAGCAGGATACAACAAAACACAAAGAACTTGGTATATAAAAATTGTCTAGTCTGATGACAATTAAATATATTATAAATTAATTATAAATTACCAATAACTAATACCTATTTCAATAATAATAATTACAAAAAACAAGAGTGAACTTCACAGAACATAGGTAAATGAACCCTAGAACAATTTTAAACTAGTGATGGTACAAATGGCACATACCTCGTACTAGATAGTTTTCTAATTTCTTTTCTAATTATTCTCTTTTTATTTTCTAATTATCGCCGTTCAATAAATATTTTCGGGGTAACATATATATATATATNNATATATATATATATATATATATATTAGGAGTAAAATATCGTTCTATATGGTATTTTCTTTTAAAAATTTGGAGCCGTTTTTATAAAAAGGGCGTTTAAGCATCACTGTAAACGGGATATTTGAAGCTCCTTTTTTAAATAAAACTTCATTTGTCGTTTGAAGCACTTCAACTCACAATACAAAATTGTTTACAAATCTCTGGAAATAAAAAAATGGAGTGAGAGATATTAAAAAAATACATTTGTGTATTTTTTTACAAAAAAGTAAGCAGAAAAATTATTGTTTCGTATTAAACAGTGTCAATAATACTGCCCTTTGAGAAGTTTGAAGAAAAATTTGGAGCCATTTTAGAGAAAATGGCGTTTAACATTTCTGAAAACACGAAAATTTGTGCTCATTTTCACACAAAAATTTAGTTTTCGAGAAAATGTATATGACATCATTTAAAGCACATATACTCATAAATGCAATATTGTGAGCAAATCGCCGCTAATGTAACGACGTGAGAGACGAGTCAAAAAATTACATTTGTGTAATTGTGTGTGCAACAAAATAATACAGCTGTATGGAGTTAATGTCATCTGATAGAGTACATTTAGCATTATCCGTAGCAAAAGTCTAAAGATAAATTTGGAGTCGCTTTTGAGAATATCTTGTTTTTGTTATTTTTTAATGTTGCACACACTTCACGCGATGTTGCACAAAACTACTAAAATTTTGAAAAAAAGTACATGACCTTATTAAAAGAACTATGGGGTTTACTGGAGTTTGGAAAGTTTACTGGAAGGTAAAATTTCTATCTTCAATTTTGTAATAGTAGGAATAGTACTGTTATGGACGGACGTTAAAAACACTTATGCGGTAGCAGAGGTCCCCAAAATGAGTATTTCCGTTGAAATTTCGAAATCTATTTTCCGCAGCATTTCATAACTTTCTCTGTATTACATATAGTACTCCGTATATACGTACGTATACGAGAAAGTAAAAATAGATTCTTCTGTAAAATATTTGTTTCATGCTCTTAATTTGAATTCAGTTAGTGTACAGTGAACAAGAAACTCAAAAAAAAGTTAAGTCTCATATTAAACATGATGCATAGTTACAAAAACTAACATTGCGAGAAGAATAAAAAAAGCTTTATCAATGACACTTCAATTGCTAGTTTTGCTTCATTTCGAGTTACACGACATGCAAAATCTTCTTCTGGGCGAGATAAAACGAGTTCTTCTGCCATTAATAATAACTATGTATTTGCAGTTAATAACCATAATAATAATCTTTAAGACTTTTTAAAATAAAATTATTAACAGAAGATAACAATAATGTACCATGGATTGAAGCGGCCAACGCGACACTGAGTAGATCGGATATTAACGGAGCCTTTAGCTCGGAAACGGAGATGGAGGAGAAGTGTGTCAAGATGAAACATTCGTCAGCAACGGGTCTCGACCAAGTTCACAGTTATTGGTACAAACAACTGACAACTATTCGCCACCGACTCGCTCAGCAAATAGGTAACCTACGTCAAAGAAAGCCACCCTCGAAAATGTTATGTTGCGCTGAGAAATATTCCAAGAATAATATTTCTGCAAGGATTAATACTCCTCGTCGCAGTGCTGCGCAAGACCCGACTCGGTTATCAAACATCATAGGAGAGACCTAGATATTTCCATCTCCTCTACAAAGATGACCTCAAAGGACTGTAATGACCTTACGTTTGAGAGAGCTAGAGTTGCTGCTAAACACAGGGAGAAGTTTAGTAATAACATTGCAAATTAATTTTGGAAAAGACAGATGCGCCATTTTCAACATCCGTCGAAGTAAAACGTTGGCATCTGTGCCTTGTCGCAACGTCTCTCGGACAGACAAATACATATTACCTTTGGCAGCGGAAGTCTGCCCTTTCCCCTCTGGGATTCCCACTGGGCCCATCAAAAACGGACTAATTTTTCAGATAGCCATAGACGATATATCTCCTCCCTGCTCGGTGGGAAATTCATCCAATTTCTCTGTAACGGGTGTGTTTAAACATAAGGGGAAATTTGCTGACGTGACGAGTGAGTTGGGCACCTACATAAAAACTCTCACCCAACAGAAAACATTTAAAATCATTGGATGGATAAATTACATCAATTTGTGTGGTCATTTTACACCTGAGCAACATTTGAGATACTACAACAGCCCAAAACATGAACATTATACATAGTCTCGAATCTACCCTTTTTGTACTACAACAAACCAATACTGAGCAGATTCAGATTTATTCAGTCAAAAACAGTAAAAAATATATGTGACGTAGCGGTGAGAAGTTTATCTGTGCACGTTTTCTTGAGTTACAGAATCCCTTTCCGTCATTTTAACTATAAATTGTTGAAAGATAAGTAAAAGTATAACATAAATAAATAAAAATAAAGGTTGAAAATCGCAAGATTAGCAATATTTAAAAATGTTCAATTTCGTTTCCAAGTTATAGAAAACTTATTTACATCGGTACACGAATTGCAAGTATGCTTTTTCTGCATTGCTAACAAAATAGCAACTCGCCCTTACCTTTACTCTTGCCATTACAAGCAAAAGGAGAGTTCAACAAAACGTGCGCATAGTGAAGCGACATTTACGTCCAGAAGCAAAACAAGGGGCCATCTCAGCATTTGCTCAATGGATCAGGGAAACTCGGCAAAAACCTGATCGAGATGGGGGTCAGTGACCCGGAAGTTGAAGTACATTATTTGTTACAAACATATTAAGTCTTTTAAAAAAGTTATAAAATACAAATGTAAACTAATTCATTATATATTACTGTTTTGTTAAAATAAACATTATTTTTCTCTTTGATCATCAGTATAAACTCTAATTGTATAGAAGCAGCAGAAAAGATTTTACATTTAACTTAAATTTGTGAATCGACTTCAATTGTTTAATGTCATCTGGCAGTGCGTTGTAAAGTAACGTACATGTATTGTATGTGGATTTCTGATTGTGAGCTGTTGATACTGACACTTGATGAACGTGATTTTTACGACGGGTGTTGTAATTATAAATATCAGTATTGCATGAAAATATGTTCCCATCGTTAAGCAAGTCACGTTTGGCATTTTTTCATTATTCGAATAATTTTCTTTTGCAATCTAAAGGTCTGAGTGCTACATGATGAGTTTCTCCAGAATTTTATACAATATCTCAGGCGGGAATGTACATTTGCAAAATACACGCAACGAGCTGCATGAAGGCAGACAATTTGAAAGAAATATGAATGTGTAACATAATGAACTTAATTTAGTGTTTAATTTTGTTATATGTACATTCCATTTGAGGTTTGACTGAATTGAGAGACCTAGAAATTTTGTTACCTGAACATCCACTAATTGCATATTATTCATATTCAATGGAGCATGCGATTGCTGATTTGAAATGTGAAATGCATTGAAATTGTTTTTCATTCATTAACTATTAACTTGTTATTAAAAAAATAAATTTGAAACTTCTAAAGTCGTACTTTTTATTGTATCTTTTTTGGAAAGAACATTCGTGTCATCGACAAACAGAACCGTTCTTCCGTTTTTAATAGACGACGGCATATGGTTTACGTAAAACAGAAAGAGGATAGGCCCTAAGATCGAGCCGTGCGGAACCCCATATTCAATTGGTAAAGAATTGGAAATATAAGTAAATAATGATCTTTCGTGCCAGTATGGTATTTCTACACTTTCAGATCCATGTTTAAGGTACGAGGTTATTCAATCTAGGGCGATACCACGAAGAGAAGAGTCTTCCATAAGAAGGTAATTTTTATAGCAAGATGTCATGGTCAATAACGTCGAAAGCTTTCGAAAGATATAAAAATATTCCAATGGGTGCTTCATTTTCGTCCATTGATGAAGCAACATCTTTAAGAAAAGGAAAAGTGGCAGTTTCCGTTGATTTTCTAATCCCGTGTTGTGAGACTGACAACGCTTATGTTTTCTGAGAAAAGTTTCCATTCGCGTATAGAAAAGCCTCTTTAATATTTTAGAGAAACCTGACAAAAAAAATTGGTCGGTAATTTTGAATTTCATTTTTGCTCCCTTTTTTAAAAAGTGGCTCAGTATTTGCTGTTTTGAAAATATTTCTGTATCTAAAGAAGCATTGAAAATGTGAGTTAACGAGTGTATAAAGGCAGGTACACAAATTTTGAACAAAAAATCCGGTAATTCATCTAAACCAGATGAATATTTATTTTTTTAGTTTCCTGACTATTCGTAA